TGGCACAAGAGTTATGCAGAAATTTGAGCAAAGGATGGATTTCACTTGTCTCTTAGACGCGTTGTAGCTTTGTGTCAAGACTTGCAAGGCTCAATGGCGATGCTGGCGAAGCATGTGGGAATTTCCCAAGTCCATTGTTTGACACCGGGAATTACTATAGCTATTGTAGCAGAGGACTACGAACGTCGAGATTATACGCATTACTGCTTGTGCTCGATTCTCGCCGAATGCTGATGAAATGTTGGCGAGATCGAAACTGCTGTCTACCCTGGATAGAAATACCTTGGGGAATGAATACTATGTGAGATTAAATGGAAATATTAGGCCTACTCGTGTAATTGTGGGAATATTCAAGTTTCAGTCTTTCACTTCATGAGACGTAGGACAAAACAACACTCGATAAATGCTGTTGGTTTCCAGGTCTATTTAGTATGAATATAAACTAGCATGACTGTTAGTGAAGGAATAGTTACATGCGTAGCATACTTTGATTATTCCTGCCTCAGCTGCGTTAAGTACTAGTATGCCTCAGTAAAATATTTTGGTCGCAGAGTACATAAGCCGAGGACAAAATAACCAGCTAATAGATTTGATTAGGATTCTCATCATGGAACGTACCTACACTACACTTATTTCATTCCTATTTTATAGTAAGCTTTTTAAGGTACTAAGAAGCGATGTCAGGCAAAGTGTTTAGCTTGTCGCTGATACGCGTCATACATACACGATTGTCCAGAGGTAGTGGCAACGATCTTACCAGCTTGCCATCTCAATTTTTAAATCTTTAATGCAATTTGTATCTCGTATCTAATAGAGCCAGGACATTCGGACTAATTGCCATAATTCTTAGACTTCCCCATTATATTTGGCCGTCTCCTTCATGGTCTCTGCATGCAAGTGCCCCTGCAATTAAAGAGCAAGTCAAGTAGAACAATCAAACAAGCTCACGAGTTTCGCCAAATGGAACCCAATATTTATTATCCTTCCATCCGGCTAAAAATATAAAAGTCAACGTAAAGCACATCTTCGTATCGAATTTGCCAGCCATATGATTCCTAGATAAGAGTATGAACGTCCAACGATTAAGTGGGAAGCGAATCAGCCTAAAATTAACCATTGAGTGTAGTCTTCAATATCTGTAAAGAGAACGCAATAGACAAGTAATTCTTCTCCCCACTTTAAGAATGCGGTTATAGCTCGATTAAATAACGCCAACGTATTCTTCCTGGAGCAAAAGGCATCGGCGATTACTAGACTCGATTGCATATCCGATTCAGGAATCAGATTACACAAAGAAACGAGGGCTAGCTCAATAATGATAAATCGGAAGATTAATGAAAAAGTATTTAGTTTTCTCGTCTCAAGTAACCTACATCTGCTATGAATCCGAATAGCAACCATGCTTAACATAGGAAGATGAAACAGTGGTCGATTATTAGTTAGTTAGTAACACTGACCAGTTGTGAGGTTCCGGAAATTTCAGAGTACCTGTGGGATATTATTTCCCTTTGCACCTTCCGGATTTCAGAAATCTCTAGAAATATCTAGCTTACCAGTAGCACGCCTCAGTCTAGTAATCGCAAAAAGGATAAACAACCATCAAGGAAAAATAACATTGAGATTTAGGCCAAAGGGAATCTATCAACTAAGTAGTCTACACAGAATCTATACAGCAATATCAACAGAACTTAGCTACAGTAATCCTCGGCATAATTACACGATAACTTGGAAATTTTGAAGTGTGCTCACGTATTAGGCCATCTCTCATCGAATTTTTACACTTAGCTTTGCGTATTTTCTGTGAACAGGTAAAAAAGTATATTCCTTTGAAATAGTTTGTATGGTCTGTTTAGTCATGACTACAATCGACATAAGCACTAAGGTAGTTACCAGGATTATAAAAACTAAACCAATAAGTTTTCTAGTGAATAGGTGGATAGATTTTGTTAGGTTAGAAAGAGTTAGTGGGAAATAAAAAACGAGTACCTTTCCTCACATCTTTCGATAGTCGCCAGGCAGCATCATCTTAAATAGTAAAATATAGAATGGTAGAAAAACAGTTTTTAAGATAAAATTTTAAAATAAGTCAGGTAAAGCATTAAAACTTATTAGTTGGAGATGCTTCACATAGACAGATGTATTTATTCAAGCCTAGAATATCACTGCTGCAAATATATAAAGAACTTCTGTTTCTGACGATCACGAAAGGTAGTGCAAGAGACTAGGTACCGATAGAGGCCAAAATAGTATGTACAAAACACAATTAAAAATCTCGACCTGAAAGAATTCATATTCATAATAATAATAAAAATAAATATAAAAACAAAAGACTTCACTATGAACTGATAATTGTATATAACGCCAAAAGCCAAGACTAGATTAGTCAAATAAAATTAGTTGCGAGTGGTACATTAATGTGTACAAGTATCAGTACAGTGTATAGCTTAATAACGCCATATAGCGGAATAATCACCGTATAAGTGCGTAAAAAGCTATAAATAATTATTCTTGGAAAGAAAGCATTCGGGTAGTATGAATAGGCGTAAAGTTTGAGGGAGAATATACAGCTGGGATCTGAAATCTATATTTATGCATTAAACATATTCGAGTTTACCATATCCTTTAGCAGTTGACATTTTTTGCTGCAGCCCTTTGCATTATATTTTGCCCTTCGCGTTTTAATACAGTTAATAGGGCCTGGGAACTTTCCAAAATCTGACATGCAAAAGTAAACAAATTACCTGCATATAAGCAGCCTCTGATTCGGCCATAGTCCTATCATATTCATTTCTGGTGGCCAATTTTTTTTGTAATGAATCGTTTATACATGACAATTTTTCTTGCAAAAGATTTATTTCGCGTTGAAGCTTAGATCTCTCTGTTTCATCTGCTTGTATCTGTTTTTGTAACTCTTCTCTTCGCTTGCATAGGTCTTCAAAGCCTACGAAGTAAAAAAAATATAATTTACATTTCACAAGTTCATTATTATAATTTTGCAACGAGGCTCCCTGGTGTGACATCGTGCACTCAGGGTAGGCCAGGCAACAGGAGAAAACACAATTTTGACTTAGTGGCAAAATAGATTTATAAATTAATGTATATATAAAAATTAATCATTAATTAAACTGTATTGTAGAAAATTATTTATTTTATTTTTTTATAGGATAATTTAAAGATGGATTTTAAAAAACTAAAGTTGAGCTAAAAATATTTAATCGTGTGGGGTTGGGCGCTGATATCAGTTAAGTATTTCATATATCATGGATGTAAAAAGCGTTTCCGAGGATGGTGGCCTTCGACGCGTCCTTGCCAAACAAAACTTTGATCCCGAAAAGTGTAATCTAATTACTACTAACTTTATAATCCCTTTTCAAGTTCCTTGTTTTTTGCACCTTATAAATATTTGTAACCTAGCCCTCTTCACTGCATTGGCTCACCTGACTAATTCGCGTGGTTGTGTAACCCAATTCGCTTTGTTATGATTTTGTTGCTATTTAGTATTGCTGTTTTTAATAGTGTCTAAGGTGTTGCCTAAGTTTTCTTCTAAAATTATGTAGTCTATTCTCATGGAAATACTAATTGTTTTC